TTGAAGATGTCCCTGCCCACGGCAGGGGGGTTGGACTAGATGAGCTTTAGAGGTCCCTTCCAACCCAAACTATTCTATGATTCTGTGATTATGTGGAGGCACAAAATAAATCCCACATCAGCCAGTTTTGTGAATCTTGGTCCTGGCTGAGCTTTTCACAGTAAAGGAGGAGTCTCAAGAGCTTGCTTGTAAAGTCTTACTTATGAGTGGCTGCTCTGCTATTCGTGTAAGGAAGAAGTTTCTCCCAGGAAAGCCACAGAGGTGAAGGAAATGATTAAATACCTGCAGTGCTATTCATCTGTCTAAAAGTGTGTATCCATAGGGTAGGCATTAACTCTGAGCTATTCACCTTGTGCTCCATTTAAAACCCAACTTCTAATTCAACCCCCGCCTAAAACCCTGAATTGAGAAAGAAAAAAGAAAAAAAAAAGGGTGTGTATTATTTATTTATAATATTCCAGATAGTTGCAGTTAGAAATATTTAAAAAATCCATGGACAAAGAGTTTTAAAGCAACCATGCTTAATCTGCTTCCATCAAGATGAAATCTAAGTTCTCCCTGCACTCAGCTGACTTGCAGTAAATAGTAACAGTAGATAGTAAACAGTAAATTCTTTTCTGACTCAATTTACCAAGGACGGTGTCCTTCCACCTGCCCTCTGTCACCATGTAGAAAGAATCTTTCCAATGTGATGTAGTAGCTTTGTACAGTTTATGTCTCTCTTGGAGCTCCTGGGGGTTTCATTGACAGGTGGAGTCTCTCTCTCTCTCAAAATGTAGTTACTTCTGATTTGTTACGGAGATTTTTGGAAATTCAAGGACTGGTTTAGACAGTTTTACTCCTTTGAAGATTTCCTGTGTTTAGTTTATTAACAACTTGTTTATTCTGTTGGGGAGAAATTCCCCTCATTCCTTACTGTATGTGTGTATATTCAGTGTGACCTGCCTCTGTCCACTGAACTTGGCAAACAGTTCATAGGTACCTCTGTGTGGGTTTAATGTGGGTAAATCATTACCAGCTCTTGACTGAGACCAAACATGACAGTAATTAATTACTTTACATGATCATGAATTTAGCATGCCTAATCTCCAAAAGCCTAGAAAGAGAGATTGGCATTGTTTGACTTTCACAAATGCATCTGCTAGTGCTGGGAAGGCTTGGGATGACTATCTGAGTGATTTTAGTCAGCGGGATTCTTGTATTTTCTGCCATCTCTAAAGCAGAAGAATTGCTCTTTGTGAAGTCTGTTGAATGTGCTAGTGACATGCAATGACATAGACAGTGGGTTCGAGTGCACCCTCAGCAAGTTTGCAGATGACACCAAGCTGAGTGGTGCGGTCGGCACGCCGGAGGGACGGGATGCCATCCAGAGGGACCTGGACAAGCTGGAGAAGTGGGCCTGTGTGAACCTCATGAGGTTTAACAAGGCCAAGTGCAAGGTCCTGCACCTGGGTCGGGGCAACCCCCAGTATCAATACAGGCTGGGGGATGAAGGGATGGAGAGCAGCCCTGCTGAGAAGGACTTGGGGGTACTGGTGGATGAAAAG